TTGCAAAGAATCCAAAGATTTTTCCCATGAGATTCCATGTGCTTTATTGGCCTTTACCACTACAATTTCAATGCAACTTGCTTCAATTCCTCCTTAAACACCGTGATTACTTAATTCTGCAAACAAGCTCTCATCTGTATGTATTACATTAATACAAAACATGCCATATGTGTGCATTACATTAATTAAACCAAGTTATTGATATGGCTGTAATAACTGACAAAATCCCAGTCACCAGATGTGTAATTTTGCATATATGAAGTTAATGCAATTGTGGTAGACAAAGATGTGTATAGTTACAAATTGCAAAAGTTAAGAGACACAAAGTAATTTTGTTTTTAACCAAGTTTTGTGTATGCACGCAATTGATTATAGATATTAGTGAGGCAAGACAGTGATATGAGGTATATGCTTTTGAAGATGCCATGCAAAGGAAAGATGAAATTTTTTTGGTTGAAACTATGCTTTTGCACATGGGAATGATCTCTCTCTGGATCTTGCCTTTTTCCATTTAACCCTTATCCCTGGCCCAGGGGCTTTGGATGCAATCATGTGCATGCTGTTATATACAGAACTCAAAGATCTTGCCATATTATCATTATTCAGAGCAAAATGTTAAATCAACCAATTTCCATTCTATCAAGCACAAACCAGTTTATGATACCTTCAAAGTGTTCTTTAAACTTTGAAGACATGTTATAATCATGATAATAAGTCTTGAAACTTAACTGGCCTATTTTTATTTTTGACAGAGAAATAAATAGTATGTTTGATGATCCTATTTCAGGTCCTTACAACATAAACACACTTTTGCTTTGCTATTTGTGAATTCCATGACATGTCAACTACATCCAAGGAACCCCAAATTCCACAAACCTGGCAATTGTTGCTGTTCATCTCAGTTCCATGAAAACAATATCTCAGAACATACAGTGTCCTTATATCAAGGACAGTGACGATGGTGTGATTAAGAATTCCATTTTATCGGGGAAGATGAGAAAGAAAAGAGGTGGTAGTACAAGTGAATTAGACCCCACTGTAATTTCCTCAACAAATAAGGAAGCACTACAATCTGAGCTGTGTTGATCTTGGCAAGGCAAGGTAACAAGAATGATGATTTTTCTTCGCTTTGTTATGGATTACTTGCAGAGACTAACATTGTACTTATTGAGAAAAATGAGAAGAAAAGTCAGTCACCTAACTGCACAAATGATGCCAAGGAATGACAGTGATAGAATGAACCACCACTACTACTTTTAATAAAGATAAGACTTAAAGCTTTCAATCAACTCTTTTAAATCATACTTTTCTCTGATGAACATATCATTTAAGGTACACATAAAATATTGTTATAGTATATCCCAAAGTTTTAGCTTATTGGAAAGTTTCAAACAATTTACACAAGTTGGTGACCCTCATATATAACGATACTAATTAACTATCTTGAGATTGGAACACAAGGTTCAATTAAATTTGAAATTTTCATGATAGCTTAGAAAAGAAATGCAGCAACTTCTCGTTGGAAGTTGATGATGGAATCCAAGCATATGCATGGTAGAGGTTAACTTTGATCGAGACTTTATAGCGTGATGGTAACGTATGATTCATTATGGGGTGCCTCTGATGAAAATCAGATTTGCAATAAATAAAAATAGCGACAACAAAATGATGTGAATAACGTTTTTTTTTTTTTTTTTTCTGACAGGAGCAGTAATTGCTTTTTCTTTTAGAATTTCAAAATCTTTAACCTTTATTTTTACGCGCGTACGTCAAAGAAAAGAAGTGGACCCCACCTGCCGACACATACAAACTGCTTAAGAGAATGATTTTTATAGGTCAATGCTAAGTTGCCCTTCTGAAGAGGATAAAATTTTCTCCAAATTATTATTCGCTTCATTTACTTTTTTATCCTTATATGCTTAAGAGATTCATGTGATTTGTTCAATCGAAATAATGAAGAAATTTTGAAAATAGTGTGACATCGTCATTGCATATATTTGTTATCTAATGAGAGGAAATGCGTAGAAAAATATTTATTTTTCATTGTCCTTGGATTTTCATTTTTGAAGTCCCTTTACTGTGTGATATAAAACACCTTGGGTGTGTTTGTTCTGATATGGTTTTATGAAATATTTTTTGTTATTTTCTCCCTCTCAATGTGGCTCATGAAAGACAGGTTTGTTGATGAGGATTAACTTTTAAAATAAAATCCAAATTAAATAAAAGGGTAGTAAAGAAAGATCCAGAACGAGTCCCTTCTTGTTTAACCCTATATTATAATCATTTATGTTAATAAACATAATGACTCAAGATGAAACCCAAACATCACAAAATTGCATATTTACGATTTAAAGATAAAATTTATTCATGTCTATTTTATTTTCCTTGGATCAAATAGTCAACATTTTCACTATTTTTTTTTCAACTATTTCTCTTGCATGATATGATTTGTTTCATAACATAATCAAAATTCGAAATGTAGATCGCCTCTTTAAAAAAAAATACAAATCATTATCATCTTCAATCTTACTAATGTAAATTTTATTGTAAATAATCAAATTAATTATTTCATCTTTATGGATTCTTATACTTTTTTACAACATATTATTATAAATTATTTATATAATGTTCTTATGTTTTTAATTCATTCTAGAAAACTATTTTACAATATTTTTAAATTTTTCATTTTTATGTAATAGCATACATGGATCATAACAAGAAAATTTGATTCATAAGAAATTATTTTTAATCTTTTTGTTTTTCAACCTCTTTTTCTTGATCTATTTTTTTGTCTTTCTTTTTTTCTATCACACTTTCTGATGATTTTCTATGAAAAGAACTCTTATTACCATATACATAATCTTAATCCCCTTTTTATTAACCAATATCTATAAATTAGTTACCGTAAATTTTTATTTTATTCTAATTTCTCATAATAAATAATATTTATATTTTATTAAATCACGTTTAAGTCCATCATTATATTTCACATAAATCACATAATAAAATTAATTAATTAAATTAATTCTAACAATTGGAAAAAAGAGGATTGCATGAGAAAAGAGAAGTTTAAGGAAAGAAAAAAAATCCTCTGGTGACAGGGAGCAAAGGAAATAAAAGAACGAGACTCGGCAATTATAATTTGTGTCCTTTGATGAACTAAAAACAAAAAGGAAAAAAATGAGGAGAATGACAAAATGCACACATATACATATCACTCTCTACACATCTAAACAAGTGAAGAGAAAAAAAAAAACTTATTTTTTTTTCTACCAAACAATTTAATAATTATCTCACTTTTACACTCTTTTTTTTTTTTTTCCTTTTCTTTTATAGGGTGTATTCGTAAAACTAACCAACAAGTTAGCTCAAGTTTACAAATTATAAATTAGGACGCAAAAAAAAGCAGAAAGTTTATAAATATGCTGATTTTTATAACAAGTCGGTCAAAGTAATTCAAATTATTAGTGCCATTGAAGTTGAAAGACATTGATTGGGTGTAGAAATAAAGAGATAACAAGAGAAAACACAGATAATTTATATACGTAATGACGTATTGCGACAAGGGAAAATATGAGAAGTTTGAATTGAATATTTACATCGTTGGAATGTCCAAAAATGAAGTCCTTCAAATAAATGCATATACAATAAGAAAAGAAGCAATAGATATCAAATATTTTCATATTTACACTAAATATCTTATTCCTAGTGATAATTTACTATTATAATGATTGTAAAATAAGAGATACGGGTGAAGAAAAATTTAAACATCGATATGTTAAAAAAATATAACGTTCAATGACTTAACTCTAAATGCTTATTTAACATTAGTGGTTTGGTTTAGTTAAAAACTCCTACCATTTAAATCTTATTTTGTACAAATTTTATCCTAATAAAAAATATGTAATACTTGATTGTCGTATATGAAAAGTAGTATTATACTACACACCTTTAAAAATAAGTTTCGGTACAAGGCCACTATTATCTACAAATTGATAGCCAAATTTTACTTTGTATTTATTTAAGATTTTTTAACCAGTATCAGTAATTATAAAGTAAAATAGGTAGATAAAAATAATATTCCATTAATATAGCATATTCATAACACTATTAAAAATGTTTTTTAAAAATTGCGAAAATGGTAAAGGAATCGACATAGTTGAAAGATTAAACAAATATTTCCTATTCGTAGGAGAACCTTTTTCTTAAAAACTTTTAACCACACTACCAATTTACACCCCTTTTTGAAATTAATCAGAAATTTGTGGTAGTTATTCCTACATAGCTGATTATTATTCAAGATAAGTTGATAGATTTTTTCAAAAATATCTTAAAAGTCATATCAATTATGGTTTCTAATTGATTAATAATATAAATAATTTTATTTTAGCAGTATATAATTAAAATCATATATCCACCTAATTGATGAAAGGTGAGGGCTGTGGTAAAACACAATCCATTTCAAGATAAATCCAAGTAGCTATCATGTTCCCAGTCTTCTGTATTCGAGCCTTGGCACGATATGCCTGATGCTAATAAAAGTTGTGCACAATACATATGCCAAATGTCATCAGACAATAGAATGCCGCGGCTCAATAACAGACTAAAGCTAAACATCTCTCACAGGCACACAACCAGTATAGCATATATTATTAAAAATAAATAAATAAAATATTATAATTATACCTTTATTTGAGCAACAAAAAAACGCTAATTAGGTTCATACTAAACTTATCAATATTTATACAACACAGTAAATTGACTAGGCCCATCCCAAAATCTCCATGTTAGATTTGCTCAAAATGCAATTGTAGTTTGATCTCAGCCTGTTAAAATACTATGTGCACCTAGGGAGCTCAATTAATTAGGATTGTAGCCAAGAGGGAGAGACTAAATTTGCATGTGGGGAACATCGACTCTGAACATTCTCACCCCAGAACAGTAGTATGGATAAAGGAAGATAAGACATTATGACCAACATAAAACCCGGGTGAACCAGCTCACCTCTTGCCACGAGGTCCAGGTCCGGATCTGGGACCAGGAAACCGAGAAAACTGAAGCCGCAAGTGACTAGACTCAGGATTCAGTTCATCAACTTTATAACCTGTGTCATCAAACCAAAATGTCAGCAAACACTGAAATTTGAGTTCAAATCCTACAATTCTGCCTAATCCCAAGGAACATGACCATTTAGCTTTTAAGACATAATTTCAACTTAGATCAACTTTCTAGTAATATTTATTTACCATTCCATTCAAATATTGAAAACAGAATGTCCTCTCCAATGATAACCAACTACCATAAATTGTGTAGACGAATTTTTTAATAATTCAACGTGCCATCATTTTATCTAAATTTTGTCCATAGCTTGCTGACCACAGGAACAAATGCTATCTTCATTTTAACAATAGACACATGAGATAAGTGATGATAATTTCCAAAGTGAAGATAACAATGATATTGACAGTTAGTAGAACAGATATCTTGGTATGTGTTCATTATGTACTCCGGGAATGAAAGAGGATAACAAATGGGAACATGGAGTTGGAACTCATTTCTAACGTGTTCACCACTTCAGTTCTATTAAGTAACCAGTTTGAATAAACCATTACATCACAGATAACTTTAATATAGATATCCAGTGTAACAGTGATTTATCACTTTCCCAGTTTAAATCCTTTTAGTTCAAAAGAATATTCAGTGATCTCATTTGTTGGATCAACACATGATACTCCAACACTTGTTCATAAGGAATTTTACTGATAAATTTTACTTCAGTGCAACTTAAAAAATGTTTTACCCCATTACAATTCAAATTTACAACAAGACATTTAGAGTGGGTTAGTTACATGTTTCAAATGTAATTTTTAGTGTTTTTTTAAGCTCTACTGAGAAGCTAATGGTTATAGATTTCAAATTCTAAATGTGATTCCTCCATTACAAGGAGTTTCCAAACAAATTGATACAAAATTCAGGAACATAATAGACACATATTGGTTCAGAAGGCCAGAAACCCAAGGCAATTCTACAATTTTCACAACCTCCAAAGTCACCTTGTGATGAGATTATTCCCTATAAGATGACTTACACAATCAAATATGAAATTAATTTCATTTTATCTCAGCAGGTAAGAAGAAGTGATACCTTGCAATGCACTCAGAGCAGTTGCTGCACAAGCCGGATTTGCAAAATCCACAAAACAAAGGATTAGAGGATCTCCTCCACGCTGAAAGAAGCATGCATTTCAGCATAAAGAGTATGGATCTTTCATCCAATAAGCTCAACAATGATATATCAGAATAAAAGATGATAAGCAGACAACTGTTACAAACAGTAAACTTACATGTTTGGATTCTTTGCTCACAAGTCTTACTTCTCTATATCCAACAAAAGGGCGAAAAATATCTATAAATGGCATTAAGGAATTTGAATAGCTAAAAAAAATAGAGCTGACAATATGATGATACGATTACTAAAACATTATGGGGAAAAAAGGATACGAGCCACTTCCCTTCTTGTGCTGTCAGATGGGAGACCTTCAACATATAAAGTACTAGATGCATCTGGTGGTAGAGGTACAGTCTCAGGTCCAGGCATGGAAGTCGTATCTACTGGTAACTGACCACCATAATTGACATTCCGTCCATTTCGTGCAAGATCATGACCACCACCAGGATGACCCATAACAGCAGGATCAGTTAGAGAATGGCCTGGCAACCCACCAACACCCCTTGCTAATCCACCACCAATTGCACTAGCTTCCCCAGAATTAAAGGAAGAAAGCTGCTTATTAACCAAAAAGAGAAGTTTTCAGCAAACAAGCCGTGAAGGCACATCCTCACTTTATGTAAATAAAACAGGTTAGGATGTTACCCCTGCATTTTGAAGGTACCGGTCATAAGCAGATCCAAGTGTTTTAGTGTCCTTCAGCATTCGATGACCAGTATGGTCATCATTCCGAGCAATATAACTATGCAAATCATTACCTCCTGAAGTCAGACCAGAAGGTGACATATCTGCAATGTAACAGAATCTAGCCTTATAACTAGTTAAAGAAATAGAAGTTGAATACACTAAATCAATGAAGTTCTGTAAAAATAGCCATATCCCTCCAGTGCTAATCACTAACAATACATAAAAAATCTAACAAATATGCCAGATCCTGGCAAAACACAGACAACTATACAGTGCATGCTTCATTTGGTAAAGTGCTTATATAATATAAAGAGAAGAGTGCACATGCACAAACATGTTTGTTGTCACCTATCAAACTATCAGTCGTCAGTTCCTTACACACCAAGTAACATAAGAGTTTAACCATGGTTACTTGACAAATTCTATTAGTTTAACTTTCATAGCTCTAATTAGTTAACTGGTAAGCACTCTCAACCATGTGTATATCTGGTCTTCTTCCTTGCAACAAAAGTCAATGTTTCATTGTCTATCTGTCTCTTCATTTCTCACTACTGACTTGCGGTGGTATCAAGAGCTTTTTTTGGAACTAAATCCACTCCATGGCTTCACCACTTGATCTTTTCTGGTCTTCAGATCCACCAGCATTTCGGTGGATCTTCCACTCAACCCACTATCCTGCTCACATCTCATTCACACACCCAATTTCAACATAACTTATTGACAAAAAGTTCCCACCTTGGAATCAGTAAGCACAGGAAATGATTAAGTTAATGTCTTAATCCAGAACTTGCATCCTGACATGAAAGCCAAAGTTCCTTCCAGTAAGAGTGGAAGGATCAAATACATTTGTCCACAGCTACTTCACCAAAAGAGTCTCTTCTGATAAGAGTCATTGGGTGCAAATGTTCCTAGCAGATCTGAAAAACTCCAAAGATAAGTTTAATTGTGACAACTCAGTTCTGAACTCAAACAAGAAAATGAGCAATCAATTTCAGCCATCATTAATTCTTTGATCTTTATCAGTGATCCACTTTCATCTCTAAATCACACTGACATCATCCTTGATAAACTTCTAATATTTTTGCAACCCCAATAAACAGTAGAACTGATCAATAATATTGAAGCATGGCATGTTTTGTTCAAAAAGCACAAATTGATAACATATAAGCAAAGCACTCTTTTGAATGTAGCCCAAGTTTTCTACAAGAGTCCTGCAGCTTCATGCATTCAACCCGCCAGCAGGCCTTGTCACCTAATCTTCCACATGTTCCCCATGTACATCAACTCTGCAGTTCTCACCATCACTTGGATATGGAGGTTCATTTTTTGGAAGCAGCTGTAGTTGATCAGGTTGTCTCAGAGGTCATGAAGGTCAAGCTGGTTGTTGATACTCAATTCTTGTCAATTAAGTTAAGTCACAATGCCACAATTTGCTATCATCTATTTGATTATAACTGGTTCAAACTACTTATTTAGTTCTGAATCCAGCACAAGCTTATTTATTTTCACCCAACCACTACATCATACTATTCTACACTGCAGAAACAACCATTGGGATACAGTCCAGCTTTGGCTCGAAACAAAAGTACAATTCACCTACTCTTGGTCTACATGATTCACCCACTTTAGGGAGCATTTTAACTCCATTTTATACTGAGCAACAAATCCCTCAGTATGATGCCACTTTAGCTCATTCAACTCCAAGCATTTTCTACCAAAGATACACACTTCAACCCTTACTCAAACATGAAGGGTTTTCCATTCAAATATGGCTTCCACACTCTCAAGTGACTCAACTAGTAAGTACAGGATCTGCAGAATTTATTCAAAACCTAGCCTTATCAGGACTAGATAATATCTTGATACGCAAGGGACAACTATGCTTAAACTTCGACTTCCATCCCACTTCTTTTGTACAATTGTGAAGGTAATCTTGGTTTAAATGGGCTCTATCAATTTGACAACATTTGGTTATCTTGGGGGTAACTTACTCCCTTACTCCCTCCCTCGTATGTTACAAAACACATAGTCTACCACGTAGACACAGACAACAAGATTTTGCCTGTTTCATTACAGCTTAAATTCTTCAATTGTGTTTTTCTGCTATATACTTGGTACGAAATAAAATAAAAAAAGGTAAAGGCTGCAAAAAAATGTGCTTATTTGTGCATATCAATATAAAGAATGTGCAAAAATCGAGACAAACATATACTTTTACATTTATGCAATAATTTGCAAAGGCAAAGAAGGTTGGAAATAATCGATTACATCCAAATAATTTAATGAACATTTTTCTTTATTCTTTTACTATATAATAATAAATAATTAAAAAATAAATTAAAATAATAATTAAATTTATTAATAATAAATAAATTTATTTTACTTTCCACTCTTTTCCATTCTCTTTCTTTTAATCAAAATAATCTTATTTTTCACTCTCTTTCTCTTCATTTCTTTCCTTTTCCACTCTCTCAAATCCAATTCTCAATCCAAACAAAGCATAGGTGATGTTATGAGAATGGCAAACAGAAATAACTACAAGTTCCAAAAAAAAAAAAAAGAATTTTGGTTATAGAGAAAAAGAAAACATAAGACAGCCCGATTGCATACACATTATCAAATATAGGATCACAAGGAGGAGGAAAACACATGAATGGTGTGACCATGAGATGAATAGAAATTCATAAGATTCTAATTAAATACATATATATAACAACCTAATGACTTTTATAACAGAACTAACCTTAATAGATATATAAAAAGGTGACAAATAATATAAAAATATATTTTAGGATGTAAACTAGAACTGCTAACTAAAAAAAAAACAGATGTGTGTGTGGTTCAAGATCGGTGCAAATTTGAGCAAAGACACAGATACAATATCAGAAATCGAACAAAGGAAAACTTGAAAACTCAAACAGAACAGAACAAAGAAGACATATCAGCCAACAATTGAGCCTTGGAAGGGAGAGAGGAGGCAAATTTGGTTTGAAAAGTCAAGTAGGATTACGCTATCAAGACATAAGAGATCATGTTTAAATACAATACAATGATCTGGAACAACACATATGCATTATGATCATATTATCCTGGGAGTATTACCATTCGGTTACAAAACACATGGTATCAAAAGAATTTTCATAGATATAGGAAGGTTGCAATAATCAGCATAACAAACCATATGGAGTAATTTAATTAATAATATATTTGTCCAGGATCATTTTGCAATGAACTCAAATCTTTTGAATGCTTTCACAAGTCAATGATGCACCTACTTGAAAACCACAGCTCAAAAATACACAAAAAGATACCCCACTTTTGGCACAAATTAAGCCTGGTAAATCACTAAGAATTCAAAATTATAAAATACTTTTCACAGGGTGTTATACCTCAATGCCCAGCAGCAAGTCAATATTCTAGGTCTATCCAACTAGTTTAGATTACACATATTCAAACTCAATAATATCGTCACTTTGCTTTATCATAACCTCAAAAACCAACTCAGAAATATTTGAAAGAAAAAATGGAGACCATCTATATCAATTAAACAAATACTAAACCAATATTGTGAAATAATTAGAAAGCGGTGGCTCCAAACCCTAATTTGAAATTGTAAATGAAGAAGAAAAGGAGAGAAAAGTGTGCGAACCGTATTCAGTACGAGGTCGTTTGAGCAATGCGGAAGAAGGGAGGAGCGGCTGCTGCTGCTGCTGCCGATTCCAAGAGCCGTCCGTCATGGCGAGAGGAAAGAGAGAGTTGATAGATCTGACGAGCGATGATGATGATGGTTAAGGCTTGGCGATTGAAGAAGATGGGGATCAAATCACAAACCCTAATTTGCAAAACACCAAACCCTAAGCCTTTGCCCTTCTTTCCAAATAAGAGACAAAAATTTTTCAACGAAACTTTTTACTTTTAAAGAGAAAATAAAACGGGCTGGATATGGAGTATGGTTGGGGACTATTCACTCAAAATATTGTCTACATATATCTTTCCGTATGTTTTTATTATATTATCTAATAAAAGTTAAAATTTAATAGTTATATTAATTTAGTATTTTATTGTATGAATAAGAAATTAAGAAATGTAATTTTGATTTTTTGAAATAAAACTGTTATAAAAATTCACTGAGAGAAGGGAAAAGTAAGTGAGCACCTTCCCATCAATAATGAGTGTGCAGAATTATTATTTTTCTGTAATATATGTGCTGATTTTTTTATCATCTTGTATTTTAATAAACATGATATTTTTCATTCCTTTGATTTTTACATATTTATATACCTATTTTATATTTTTAATAAATGACACTTGTCACATAAAAATAATAATTATATATGTTTGTAAAAAATATTTAACTTATTGTATTTTAAAATTTAATACGTTAATTTTTATAATTTATTTAATTTGTTAGCTAATGTAATGTTTTCAAATAAAATAAACTGAGTATTACTTCAAATTTATGAGATATATGAATGTCTATTTCAATACAATAAAGAATAATATCTATTTCAATCTCATTTTTTTTTCTTCAAAGTCGATTATTCCATATCAAATATTGCTCCTATTTTATTCTTAATTATCTAAATAGAAATAATAATTTAATATATATATATATATATATATATTTAAATTATTAAATTTAATTATCTAAATAAAAATAATAATTAAATATATATTTTTTAAAAATATTTTTTAAACATTGAAACATAATAAAAATCTCTTAATAATTTTATATATATATATATATATATATATATATATATATATGTAAACATAAATATACCTAATAAAAAGTAACTATAAAAAAAAAATTGTGGCACCATACTTTATTTACTCTTGCATGCAAAAAGTGGCTGATTTCAAAAATAGTGAGTCGTCCAGCATTATCTTTCAATTTAATCTATAGGAAAAGAACAAAGGAATGATTGGACAATTTTCTTTACAAATATTTTTAGGAAACAGAAAAAATTAAGATGGACTTCTTCCAAGTTTGTATAAGTTGAAAAAAATTGCAAAAAAAATAAATAAGACATAATTTTATGAATAAAAAAAAACTAAAATCATGTTTTGTTAACTTGTCGTTTCTATAAGTATTTGTGGAATTTTTTGTGGGAAGGAGTTTTATCTTCCTTCCTTTATGATTAGCTGGTTCCAAATAATGCATATAAACTTGATGAATTGAAGTAAATACAATTTTGTACATTATAAGTTATAGATCTAAATTTTGTTAACATCATGGAGGTATCATCACTTCACTATGAAAAAATCAATTTCTATGATATGGCTACTGATGACAGTTATGTGAAGAAAAAACAACACAAATTGTCGGTTACAACAGTGGCTCACAGGGAGTGGTTTGTGTGTATCTGCGTTTCCCCCTATTTAAGTGAAAAACCTTTTTTTACAGTGGTACGATAATGTCTTGCATGCCCTCATAAATTTGAACAATATTGTGAAAGACAAAACTACTTTTCAATGGTCATGATTTTCATTTCATCACTTTACATGCCCTTATACCAATCATATCCTAATTTTTTGTTATATTATTCCACATTTAGTACTAGTATATTACTCTCCATGTTTCGTAGTCGTGGAAAGTGTATATGTTCTTCTCTTATATAGTGAAAACTACTGTGAAATGCGTTGGGAAAGTAACTTGCCCAAAAGACTGTGTAGACTTTTTGAGGGATATGAAGTGATGACAAATGTAAAATATCAAAAAATTATGGGGAGAAACAAACAATTGTGATTTGAACAGAGATCAGTGGAGAAATATACATGAACAACAGGGAAAGAAAAATCCCCAGTAACTTTTCCTTTCTCTATCTTCTTTTGGATGGAATATATTCTCCATTATTTTCAATGTACTACAGTGCTGCCTTATTGATTCAGGAGCACTCTCTGTCTTAGGTCAGAAAATTATTTAAGATAGGATCATTGTTCAATTGATATAAATGTAGTTCCAAATTGTAGCCCAAAAACAAAGTAAATATATAGTCTAGTTCCATTATTTTGTTCTTTTCTAGACTTCACTAGTGAGCTTAGAAAGTTCTTAAACCTTGTTTGCCTTTTAGAAACAAAAAGGTAAAGAACAGCTAAGTTAAGGCAAGAAAAGGAAATGAATGCAATTGATGGTCTTATCATTTTTAATAATTGTTGGGTTTGATTAAATTGTATACGCAAATACACTTATACCATATTATATAATCTTAAAATAAAGGACAAAAAAAAAAAGTTATCACATAAAATGTAAATTTTGATGTGCAAGGGAATAATATATTTTTTCTTAATCATGTTTTTACGTGGATAACGTTGGACTTGAGATCGTTCATAAAGAGACCGAATTTAATAGTTTGCAAATTAGTAATTTTTTATAGGATCTAATGTTGATGAATTAGGGGTTGAATAATTAAAGTTCCAATCCATGGAAGAAGGACAAATTGCGTAAGCAAATATTTTTTCAACATTCTCACACCAACAAATTGTTGTTGGCAACTACCATTATCCAATACAAAGAATTGTTCTTATCGTGTATTTTATTTGTTACGATCTAATACTCTCTTTAAAGACACACTAACATATCCCCCACCACAAGTGTCTTAAATTTTGAGTCCAACTTTGTTTCTTTTCTCGTACGACCACATAGCATTCCTTCTATAGAGAACTTACGAGCACTGATTACAACACAATCAACCCCTCGTCAATCTGTCCCTAATTTCGGTCGCTGTTTCCATTCAGAATGTGGGTCCAACTTTATCCCTCATCTTATTTCGGTGCATTCCATGGGCCCCTAACTTCATTGTCCAAATCTTTATTATGTCTAAGAAAACCCAATTCTTTTCCCTACCCTATTCTACATGCACCACTTGCCTCATTCATCGACAATACTCTTCTGCATGTCTAGACACGTTAGACCGTTTCCATTTAAGACAATTAACCTTATTTAAGAGAATTCTAACAAAAATAGATAAACCATGTGTTTTCTTACACATTGTTACTTTATTTTGATTACTTTTTCTCTCACGATTGAACTAAGAAAATTCTGATTCATGACTTGGGGAAGCTATGACGTCACCTCATTGAATACACCCCTATAGATTTTAGTCCCCAAAGTCATTGATAAGGGACATATGTTTACATGTTGCTGTGTTTGAGACTTGGCACAACAGTTTCGGACTTTCAGTTCCATAGTCGGCCATTAATTTCCATGAAGGCCCACAGATTCACCTAACCAGACAACACTAACCCTATTTTGTTCCCTATATATTGTACCCTTATACACAATCCTTGTAAAAATAATAAAATTATATAACCCTTCTCCTTTCTTTTTAGTGATAGTTCATTTGGCCATACTCCTTTGGCTGGTTTCTGTGTGACTCAGAATACCTTTCTTCCCTCCCCTGCGGACCCGTTCCAAGGTCTCAGAAAGAATTTTCCTAGTCTCTGCAATTTTTAATTGAATAGAAGTAGTACTATTGCTTCATGTTGTCTCATTTATTGCCACAAGCCATCAAAAAAGCCTAACACAAATATCACTCCCAACAGCCAAATCTTGAAGCACATGACATTGCATTTACTCCCCCCATGTTTCCGCACACACCGCCCTCGTTCTTCATTGTTGGTATGGTAACATTTCCACTCCTTCACACATACTTCACAAGCAAGCCACTCTTGCCATTTCAATCACCCCATAAATTCCTTTCATTTATTAAGAATGTGTGAAACGCAAACCATCTTATAGCATTTCAGCCCCTCCATCCCATTCATTATCCTCCCTTTTCTGTTTCAACATTTCCCACCCATCAACAACTTAACCCTTTCTCTCTCTCACTCTCTTTCTTTCCTTTCTGGGTTCCCTTGCCATAAAGGAATTAAACTCCTGTAATGGATAGAAGAGATCTCAACCTGGTTCTATTCATTCTGATTCTTTTGGTTATATATTTTGTTGGACATAGTCACGGTTCTAGACTCACTCACCAAGTTTTCAAAGTGCAGCCAAAGGGTGAGGCTTTGCCTCCAAACTTCTTTGGTTTCTTGCCAAAAGCAATGCCAATCCCACCTTCGGGGCCTTCTAGGAAGCACAACGACATTGGATTACAAAGCTCAATGGGGAAACCATAGAGGGATATATATCTCATGTATTCCTTCTTCCCCGTTGAACTTGACAAAAAAAATCAGGGTAATATATATGATGCCTTCATTATTTTGTATTTTGTATTTTGCCTTTACCTTTTTTGGTTTACTTCACTCCTCTGTGGTTATTATTTTTTAGATCATTTTCAAGGGACAAAACAGTTTCAAAATTAATTGTTAAAAGTGTATAAGTAGATTATTATTGCCTTCTCCACCTATCACGTGGATATTATGTATGTATATCTGGACAAGCTTAGCTAGCTTCAAGCATGTACTTTGTGATAGAATAGAACCCTTGAGGTTTCAAAGCAAGAGATGTTTTTGTGGCTTGGCTTGTACTTGAAAGCAAAGAGAAAAAAAAAATGGCGAATCACTGAAAGTTAATGTGTATCAATTTGATGACAAACCTCGCAAAGTTGTGTATCTACGTCTGCTTCTGTTCTTTCAAGTAAGCTTTTGGATTGGTAAAATCACATGCAAGCTGGCATTATTCTTTCCCTGGGAGAAAGAAAAGTGGAACTTTCAATGAATATTGTTTGTGAAGGCTTCAATGAATGGATATTGTTGACATGTATAATGTATGTTAGATTAAGAGTTAGAAATGAAGTTGCATCGTTGATTCTCGTGGCTTCAAAACCATGTTTGTGTTCTTCTAACTTAGAAGTTTTTTCTCTGGATCAGTCTGGAGTTTCAATGCGTGCAAAACTCATAATTACTGTAGCTAAGAGTGACCATACATTCTCATAAACTCTCGGGAAGTGACGTGAGAATAGTCCATTTTTTGCGTTTTGAATTGGTTTTAGTTAGTAGCTATAATAAATGTTCGTACGAGGACTTGAGTTCTTGGCCATCCTACACTACACCCTATACTGCCTTCGTATTCAACGTGTGATTTGTGTCATTTTGGATAATAAAAAATAATCAAAGATAGTTTAAAGTTTTGTTGTTCATTTTTTAGTAACGCAAAATGTTTAATTGTTAAAAGTCTCGTAATCTTGTGTACTTCAAAGTTTTAGGAGCATGGAAAAATTGTACGATGATGATGAAGTTCACACAATGAATGTAATTATGTCTAAGTTCGTGTCGAGGACAGTTAACAAGCCTTAATTGGAGCTATACAGGACAAAACAAAAATATATGACATGTAAAAATGAAACACTAATTAATGACTTGTTTTTGTTCGCATTTTCTCGAGTTAAAAGCCAACTGAAAAGAAATTAGCCCCATAAAAAGTGAATTGTGTTGGGTGGGTAAGCTGTTTGAAATCATGTCAAATCATCGTAACGTGATTTCAGACCTAGCTTCGAAGCCATGTGAAAGCCATTAATTATAATGGTCAATTTCAAAGACCAAATGCAAAGGACGGCTAGTCAAATTTTGAACTTTGTCTTAATAAAGAAAAAAAAAAAAAAACTCGACTTGTTCTTCAGCGCTTCAACCAAATTTCTTTAGCAATCTCCTACTTATTTAAACACACAACTCAACCGAAAGTGAAAATATATATTTGTTAAAACGAAGAGTATCCAACAAAAAAATTGTTCGAGTAATTATAATATTATTAAAATTATATAAATATGTTTTTTAAACCTTGTAAACGTAATAGAAATTGTAAAGGGAAAATAAAATAAAAAATATTATCAAATAATTGATAAATGAAGGAATTATAATAATTTAATAAATATTTGTTAAAATTATTTGATGAGGATAATCTTGAATTTATTGTGCTTGTGAAGTGCTACGTACTATGATTAAATTTAAATCCCCAATATTGGATGTATTGTAATTCAGAAATCAGTATTTTATATTTGCTAACCTAGGCTCAATTCAGAGATACTTAATTGTACATTTTTAAAATAAAAAATGATCAAACAAAAGATTACTTTACAAGTCAAAATTACAAATTGTTTTATCCTGTCACTGTTACTTAACTACTCGATACTTTTAGTGTTCAAACTAGAAGTAATACAAAAGATTATATTGAATAAATATAATACTATAATTTCATCATAATAAAACTAAAACAAAACATTTTTTTATTTTTATAACATTAAAGTATACATGAAATTATAAATAAAATATATAATAATATATAATCATGCTTGAATTTTAGTAAACTACAACAATATTTTTATTTATAATTCTCCATTAATTAATTACTGATAACTAGTTTACATCTAAAATATTAAAAATGAAAAATTAGTACAATGTAAATTATAATAAATATAGATATAAAAAACTTTCAAATTAATATAAGTACGATATATATATATATATATATATATATATATATATATATATATATATATATATATATATATATATATATATATAAGTCATCGATCTTTTCTGCATAAGTTATTTAAACTAATAAGTTGACTTGACTGGTAATTCATAAAGGTGTCTCTTGTCCATTATATATCAACTTCTTTTCTAAATTTCATGCAAAGAAATGACAAGAATGCATGATAATATTAAACGAGAAATGTGCACCTTGGTAGAAAAGTTTTGTTGTGTTGATCATGTCTTTATTTCGTAGCTCTTTTTTTTTTTACGTATATATTGAGTGTTTTGCCTACCAATCAGGACAGTTTCCTCCTCAATTATCAATTACATGTTAAAGGTGCACTAACTTGACTCGTTCTACTATTATGTATAAAGGTGATGAAAATATATGTATTTTATTATTCTGGTGGACATAAAAAAAAAAAAACGTCATTTGGATAAATAAAAGTTTCACTCAATTGAAGATAATTGGAGGATTTTCAAGGTTACTGGAACAGCTTTGTTGGTCAATTAAAAGAATGTATCAAAATGCTAGCTTGTTCGTCAATCCCACTTAAAAATAAAATTGTTGAAAGTTTTCATGTATGGTGTAGTTAGTAAGGCAATGTTCCAAGCAGAGGAGACAAACAAGATGATTCTCCGAAGATTTCATATCGCTATGATCGCTGTGTTAAGCAATTATGGTGGTTATCAGAAGAAGATTTCACACCTCACCACTATCTTTCTTGCATTGGTGCCTTTATACAAATTGCAGGCTTTTTTATTTGACTGGTGGCGAGCCTGTAATTAAATTTAATGGATATCTTGATTCTTATACACTTGGATTAAACTAAATCCTTTACGTGACATCTATCTTCAAATTTTCATCTTATGTTCATATCTACTCATGAATAGGAGGACCCCCTCCTGGCGCCGCCCCACGCGCTATATAATGTCAATTAAAGCTTCTTTTCTCCTACGATACGTGTTATGCCGGATATAGGAACATTCATTTATAACCAGGAAACTTGTTTCTCTTCACAAACAATTATGCATCATAGCGTACAAAATGTACTCCCTGTAGTAATAATTAAATAATAATTTACAACAAATATCACCATGCATACATTTTATTCCTGGGGTATACATATTGAGGTAAGAAAAAAGTTGCAACGGGAGAAAAAACCAAGAAAATAGGAAGGTTATCTCAACTGATGATTTTATATACACTACAATACAACAGATATGTAAAGGGCACCTGCCCAAATAAAATGGAAGACATTTCACTTGAGAGAGAAAAAAAAAAGGTGAGAGAACAAAAAGATTGGAAGAGAAAAAGGATGGACAATAAAACTCAAAAGGGGTGCCTGGATTCTTCATATTGGTTTTTGATTCCTACAAAGCTCACTGCAACAAAAAGTGTTAATGGAGAACTTCCCTCCATCTACTTCCCTAAGATTATAAAACAGGTGAACCACCTCCATCTGCCCTACTTGCCGCTTGGCCGGAAGACTTGTCAGTGCTTCGGACATTGTACCTTTCGTATACCCTATCACGGTTCTCCGACCACCACGTCTCAGCCTGGTGCTCTCCGAATCTTCGCCGGCTGCACACATTCACCACCAAACATTTCACACATGCAAGATAATTTAAACTACTGAAAATTATCACTGGTAGACTAGTGGAGGCTATCCACACTTGGAAGTTATATAATAATGGAAGAACTATATAAACATATCCATGAAATAAGGAAAATTCTTGCTATTACCTGAACCGCACTCGCTTCAGATCTCTTGTTCCATCACGCAGGGCCACTAGTGTTATATAGACACCAAGTTCATATTGTTCAATCCATTCTGCTTCAACTTGATTACTATTAGCTGGCACTATGGCGTTCCTTGACCTCAAACCACTCTCATCATCTTGAAAATTTCCAGAATCCCTACCATCAACAGTATCTGACACAGTACTACTGCTTGTCTGAATCACACCACTTCCATTTGGCAATTTAACATCCGGGTAATCATCTGTCCCACCGTTAGAGGTTACAGATCCCCGGTTTTGCTGGTAAAGATTAGCTGCATAGCTTCCCGTCAAAGTGCCTTCGGTTCTATTTATCAGGGATGATTCAAGTCCAATGGAAGCCAAACTAGAGCCACTGATTGACTCGGCCCTGGTGTGACGCTCCCCATTTATGTCTGGATAGTGAATGCCATTTGGCTCCAGACCATTTGGCAGGTAAGCTGGTCTGATGTTCTCAGCATCATAAGCACCAGGAGGAAGCCTCTCAGCCAGATCTTTGAGCTGAAAGTGAAACAACGTGGCAGGTTGATAAGCATAAGTGCATGGAAATGTAGGGTAAACTGTGAACTGTATTCAGCATGACTCGGACCCAAATGTGTATGTTACTCCCTGGTCACTCCTCCCACCAAATGAAACAATGTAATGTATAATATATAATAAAGAGACCAAAAATAGATCAAAACAAAAGTAATTGCAAAATGAACCAACAGAGAAGGGAGAAAGTGAGACTTCTCATTTAACCCCAATAATAAAATTCCATGCAATAAGATCATGTTGCTCAAAAACCAATTGTAAATAACTTTTTAGTTGTTACAACTAGAACTTATGTAAAAAATTCCAATACAATGGATGTTCTAATCCAGGTATTTATTTTATTAAGATGAAAACGAGA